TCTTTTGTCGCCGCACAGAGGTTTCAGGGTACTTGGTATCGGAACTGTCTAAGTGAACTCTGAGAGGGACTGCTTGAGCCACAGCCACTGCAAGGGCCGAGCCTCCAATTCCAAGCCTCAAGACCCATCGTAAGTCGTAAGTCCTATCTGCTTGTTGTATGTAGATGATTTCATCATCAAAAGGTCAGGGGACACACGAGCATGGCCATTGTAGCAGTACTGCCACTACTGCGACCATAGAGAATATTTGCTGGACTGCTACTGATACTCCTAGTACCCGTCTCTACCGTTTCGGCTGGCACCTAGACTAGAATCTAGAATCTTACCGAATCATACTTGATCTTGTGGAGCTGTGGAGCTACCTTTGCCGGTTAGCTCAGCTTCCGTTGCCAAACGTCCGCTGTTGGTAGTACTGCTCCAGATCTCCTAATCTTCTCTTGCCGTTCCTATCCGAATCGTGTGCAGGAAAAGGCCGCCCCTCGAAGCTCGGAGATTGTATTGAATTGTATTGTCACGGAGAGCTACTGGGTCCTCATGCGTTGAAACAAAGGCTTACCAAAATGATGCTATGCGGCCGCCACGGAAAGGAGATTTATGCGTCAGTGTCTACTTAAGGCTTCAGTGCTGGCAAGCAGACACTCCTTTGTGGATGCAGGAAAGAGAAGTCAACGATGTCGGACTAGGAAACTTGGCAGGATCGAAATTCGTTCTTAACGACCAGAGGGACAGGGTTTTTTGGTTGGGTGTCTGAGATTGCAAAAATCGAAGCCGGCTCAGAAGGAAACCACTTTGGAAGAATGCATGACAATTCCGGCTCTACGGTGCCCAGCCTTGGGTTCCTGAATCTCGTTGTTCTTGTCGAGGTCCTTCTTCTCGGTAGAGGCAGTTTCGACCTTCTTCTCGGGAGAAGATGAGGCAGCCTGACACAACGTGTGCAGTGGCTTGGGGTCTAGAGTCTAGAGAGGGAGAGAGTAGAGAGGGAGAGAGCCACAGACAGACAGAAAGACAGACAGACACAAAGACAGGTTTGCAGACATACTATATGCGAGCATCGCACGTTTCATGTACTTGCGTATACCCCAGATTCCGGTTCCAGCCACTTCAAGATGCCTGATTAGATTGATTAGATGCACATCTAGGCCAAAACAGATCAAGCCTGGACTGTGGCTGGAAACGAAAGTCACGTACATACATGCATCTGCCTAATCCCCGAAGGCCCGCTTTGTGTGTCTCCCGGCCTCTATCCTGGTGAAACTCGCCGTGGCAGGTGAGCTTTCGCTCACACGACCCCACGCCAAAAGCCAATGCCATACTGGACTGCACCAGCACGAATTCGAAGCCTAAACAGGCCCAAACCAATAGCTTGCACCAACGAGCCCAACGCCTTACGAGTTCATGCCTTAGGCTTCATGTATAGTAGGCTTCCCCCTCCATCGCAATATGCGAGAGCCATTTCTATGAGTACCAATGTTTGTCGCGGCGCGGCGTTAGCCGGACTAAGGCTCTGTGTAGCCAGCTGGTTGTCGGTGGACCCACTTAGCGCATGTCCAGAACGCCTATAATGTCCTGTCCTCCATCCTCAACTTGAAACCCGGTTTTGCAAGCGGACTCCAGAATCCGGCAGCAAAACCTGAACTCCAAGACCAGAATCACTGTAATTACCCTTTGCACGCTAGTCCCCAGCCATCACCTAAACAGCCTAACCCTTCAAACCCTACGACCAACCCTATACCGCATAAATACCCCTAAAACGAAGCATGTTATCTCTGTGTCTGCGTCCGAAGTTCAGAATCCCAACCTCGGACTCTAACCCCTAATAAGCCTCAAACCCTAAATCATATCTCAACCGATACTTCAAAAGCACTTCATCAGTTAAACCACTGTATGTATTAACTATGGTGCGTGCACCCGCCTATTTCACAGCGAGAGTCTCTGAACCGTAAACCCTGCAAAGCCGGAACCCTAGCACTGAAGCCTATAAGCCCCCAAAGCCTGAACCACAGCCCCGCACCCTAAAGCCTGAACCGCTCTAATCCCGAACCCAAAAACCGCAAGCAGACCTCCTCCACGAGCTTTGGTGGAGCTTTGGATTCCACATCCGGCTCCGCGGAAGGTGAGGGATTGGTCTTGTCCTGCTCCCCAGCTTGTTCGGTGTTGAGGGTTCAGGGTTTAGGCTCGCACAACTCGGACTTGCCAGGCGAGGAAGTATGAGGGTTCAGGGTTTAGGGTTTAGGGCTTGGTTTAGGGTTGTTTTTTGATGGACTTTTGTGAAGACCTCGTATCCTGGCTGCTACTGCAAGACCGCCTGTCGACGCAGGCCACTGCACAGCAGGCTTTGGGTCTCGGGGTCTTGGGGAGGAGGTTCTCGAGGCTTTTTGGGGCAGAAGGGGTCGGGTCCAAGGCTCTTCGCTGCTGTTGCATTTGAGGATGCATGGAAGGGTCGAGAGCTTGCGCCTCAGCACCACCGAGCCCGAACCCAAGAGTTTTTACCCTGGTAAGCTCAGGTCCCAACACCTGAAAGTTCAAAAACAGCACACCTCAAGAATATCGCGTCCCTTTGCCCCGCCGAAAGACACCCTAAAACGAAATTACTTAAACGATTTTGAGGGCTGGAGTTGAAGTGGTGGCCCGGCACATTCTACTTTAGCAATGGCACCCTGCAGAGAGATGTTTTGGCAATGGTGTTGGATTTGCTTCTTGCTTACGCCTGCAGGGATTGCAGCAGATCCCCAACACCAACTCCCACCTGAAGCATAGCCGCTCTAATATCACAAATGCCACGGGCCACAGTAATAAAACCCGCAAGCCCTGTTCCGTGTCTTTTCTGAGCTCCTTCAGCTCTTCCTTCGTCGTGTCAATGCGTAGCTTCTCATTGTCCTCACCTTGGAAGGGATCTTGGACACTTCCGGTGTTGGGTTTAGGGCCGAGGATCACTTCTCAAAGGTGGGTGTGTTGGAGAATAGGGCACGGAGTTCTGATCTACGCCCAGCACACAAATAGAACGTAGACCCGTGTGGTCGAGAATTGGTTGACGTCCCATTCCTGCCATCTTACAACTCTAAACTCCAAGACTAAGGCTTAAGGCATCTTCCAAGCCACATCCTGCTCCAAGGCGTAGAGAACTTCCGAAGATACTTTGTTCTCTCAGGCGTCTAGCGAATGGACAAATAATCTAGGCTTATCCTAAGGGGGAGACCAGGAAGCCCTGGCTGAATTCGGGGATTGGTTTTCTGTTGCCAACGGGCATCGACCAAACAAGCAGTATGCGAGCCCAGCCCAGCAAAAGGGATCAGATTCATGAGGCTTCCGTGGTGCCGAAGCAATGACTGCCCAAGCTCTACCATGAATATGAAGCTGCACGCGCAGGTGACGCAAGCTGCATGCCTAGATCCACCCCCAAGGCTGCCCAACAATCTTTGCACGTAGAGTTGGCGCAAGAGTTCGGCAGAACACAACTCTGGTTTCCAAACGATGTGCAAGCAGCGTGCTGCGCAGTAGGCTTGCCCCTGTGCCTGTATTTACAGAAATTTGCGAGAGAAGTGCCAAGAACATCGTCCATCCCCGTGACTCCCGAACCCTATGCGTGGAAAGCAAATGCCAAGCTGCCGGAAGGAGGTGGAGGAGGGTGCAGAATGTTCACCTAAGGCGTCTCTCTCACACAGACACTTATGCGGGCATGTGAAAACCCAAATCAACGCCCTCGTAGGGTTCAGCCAGCCAGCCAGCAGCAGTCAAACAGAAGCCTGCATCCTTTGACGCCTTTGAACTCTCCGAAGCCCTGGCCCGAAGGTTGCCAAGGCTGTGACAGCCTCCTTGAAGCTGCAGCCTCTCCTCTCCATCACCGGCACGACCTTGAGTGCCACGAAGTGAACATCGTACTGTTACTCAGCAGCAGCAGCAGCAGCAGCGGCAGCAGCAGCAGCAGCAGCAGCAGGAGCAGCAGCAGCAGCAGCAGCAGCAGCAGCAGCATCTGCAGAAGAAGGTGGTAGAAGTAGTGGTAGCAGTAGTAGCAGTAGCGATGTCACCAGCCATTGTCGGTGCACTGCATGACATGCAGGAAGCGGAGCACAGGGAATGCCGGGACAATCAGTGGATACTGGGCCTACATCTTGGCAATCCAGGAAATCACTGCTATGCGAATGCGGCAGTCTGTGCTATGTTTGCGGCGTTTGAGCAGCTCTCTGACATGCCACCAGCACTTCGCTACGCTTCAGGGGCTTAAAAGCGAAGAAAATATAGTTAATCATACATGAAACGTCTTCTCGAACAGACAAGAAGGCAAGAGCCAGACGTTTGCGGAATGGGGGCAACGTGCTTTCTTGCAAACGGAATCCGGTAAAACAGTCTGGCACTCTCCCTGCGGTGTCACTGGTCTGCATCGGATATGCTGGCGCGCTTCTCAAGGTCATCAGAGCGTCGTTCTCAAAAATCAATTTGCAACACGGAGCTGTGTTCCAAGTTGGTCCTTTCCTCGCACATAGCAGGATGCAGTGGAGCTCACCAGCCCAAGGCTCGCGGACATAGTGGCTACGTGGATGGTGGGAGGCAGGGTCCATTCCACACGAGCGTGCGCAATGCCATTACTCAGGATGTGCACCAGCCACTCTTGCGCTACCTGCAGGTGCCTTTGACATGCAGGGTGCCATTCAGGCCTGGCATGAACAAGACGATATACATGCGTTCACAGCGCCGCCGGATGTTATACTTCAGTTCGCCAGGTATTCTGATGAGCGCACATTCAAGATCAGTTCATCCCGGTGTTTGCTTCGGCGCATTTCGGCGCTTCGGGTATGGAATTCAACGGGGTGCTTTACGAGGCAATCTCGGCTATCCTTCATTATGGGCCATCGCCTCATTCAGGACACTACCGCTCCCATCTCAGAATCAGTGATCAGTGGAGTGACAGCAGAGCGAAAGCCAATTACCAGCGAACATCGCCGCAACGTTTATGCAGTCTGGGTCCGAAAAGTCTTTGGGGCATCAGATCCCCCACCGCAGCAATGACCATAGATACTGTGAGCCAAGAGGAACCTGGGTTCTTCAACACCTACATGCCATCAGGTGGTGGAGGCAATCGTGGCCATCCGAACGGGATCTTGAGGAGCGTGATACCAAGGCACCCAAGCGAGGTTCCAGAGGCAAAGAGAGCGACTTCTCTGGACAGCAGCTGCGCGCAAAGCGCAACTGGCAGTCTACCCCATCTTGGGGCTCAGGCTAGGGCGGTGCTCACAAGCAAAACACATGGGCACAGGAGGACAACAAAGAAGGGGAAGCCCTGAAAGCCTGCTTTGTGCAGCTCCAGCGGCTGATACTCAGGCTGAGGACGCCATCAACCTGCTTCGCATTGAGACCAGCTATGTGACCCACATGCGCATCTCGACGCCAGAGGCCGTGGTGTCGGCCGCCTACCATGCGCCTGCCGGATGGAAAGAGATGAAGGAAAGCAATCCAGAGTCGCCGGGCAAGCCCCTTCGCTCGACCCTCATCCACCAGAGTGGCCAATCTCACTACCGATGAAATCGACAAGCTGAAGGCCCTGCAGTGGTACGATGATACCACCACGACATGGTCATACCTGCGATGGAACCCCGAGGCGAAGAAGCTTCAGAGGGATGAGGAAAAGCCAGGTATCAAAGCCAGCGAGGCCCTCACCATTCTGGATCACATGCTGCCGGCTGCCCCACAGCAGCTGTGGCGAGGTTCCACCCGACAAGGCCGTTGCCCCAGGAGATGAGTGGGGAAACGGTTACGTTTTTTCATGTAGTTCGGCACCCACAACGACGACCAGGCGGAGAAGCTTTGCAGCTGCATGGACGTGCGAGGCTGCTGCACATGAATTTTGATCACGCAGACATGCTTTGCTCTTCGGGGCGATGTCTACCTACATGTACATGGGTGTTCCATTTTTCCCCAGTCACAGTCATTGGAGAATGATGGCGGGGACAGGTTGACGATTTCAGCTCATGCCTTCTCTCATGTAAACGTGTTGCGGACGAGTGCGCAATGTGAATGGCTAGCTCTTTTCTCTTCCACGTCCCATCTGAGATGCTTGATGCGAATGTCGTCGGACTAAGGTTGGTACGAGACGAAGCAAGGGATACCTCATGGGATGAAGCGTCTCGTGCGCAAGACGATGACCTGCCCTGTTTGATTACGGGTTCATGCCGATGCAGCATTCAGGACTCCAGCGCGGACGCTATGCAGTTGATACCTTTTGCATTCCTGCGGGCTCTTCTCAGGGAGAAATTGAGGTGGAGGCAGCAAGCGCTATGCATAGGGGCCATGAACATGGGACATGCTTCAGAAATGGTTTGACCTGCCTGCCGCCTGGAGTCATGGAACGAGGTGGTGCCACAGCAGGCACCAATAAGTTCATGCTGCCGCCTAAGGTCTTCGTTGCAGGGGCCTTTCACGGACATCTTTTAAGGCACAGCTCTCTTTCCCTGGTTAACCTCCCTGCTGTGCTCCATACCATAGTGCCGTAGTGATGCGGGTTGCCCCGGCACACCAGTTCACGACGATAACATGGGCCAGCAATGTTACAACCAAGGCCCATAAAGACTCTCACAACGACGGTCACTCTCAGAATCTGGTTCTGCAATGCTCCGAATATCTACAAGGTGCGCGTTGGCTTGAAAATCCAGGTGCAGATATATTCCTTTGACTTCAGATGGCATCTGGGGCAGTGTATGCATTATGCAGCACTCAGGTTCTGTGCATGTTCAGTCCTCGTTCTATCATGCCGTGGACGGGACAACGACTAATCATGATAGCCTTTCGTGTCCGCAAGGCTGATCTTATTTCTCCCGTGGATATGCGGCAGCAGTGCTCGGGGGGTTTTATATCCAATGGAATATGCGTACAAATACTCCTTGTCACAACCCACTTCGGCAGCAGAAGGCTGACGCGAAGAAGGAGAGATTGGAAATAGCGGTACGGTGGAAATTCCTCAGTCCGTGGATGGGCTCTTTTGACGAGCTTGTGTCCCGACTCTTGTTGATGCTATATGTCGGCGAATTTCTATGATGATACCGGACGAAGATAATGCCATACACAGCTTTCTGCAGCTGCTTGTTAATGTTGGATTGCTGGAGCTATGGCTCGGATCCAGTGGCACGCTTGGCCCCACATAACGGTGCTTTATTCTTCGGGCAATAAAAATATGGCAGTGCTGAGTGCAGACAGGCCAAAGCCTGCCGGGCGCAAGGCAGACTCCGTCGCGATCGAGAGTAGAGCAGTAGCAGCAGCAACAGCAGGAGTAGGAGTGGAAGTAGGAGTAGGAGTAGGAGCTGGAATTGGGGTTGAGTTGGAGTTGGAGGAGGAGGTAAAGGAGGAGGAGGAGGAGGAGGAGTAGCAGCACTCTTCGTAGTCGTCATCGTGGTCGTCGCCAAGCAGTTGCAGACGCCACTGCTACTGCTTATTCTTCTACTTCTTCTTCTACTGCTACGACGACAGCTACGGCTGTGGCGACAACGACCACTGCGACTGATACTACAAGCAGTATTGCGACTACTGCTACGACCACCGACTGCAGCTAGTACCACTACTGCCACGGCGGCAATTACTGCTACTGCTACGACCATTACAACCCACTATGCATTGCTATGGCTTGAAAAGCTGCGCTACTGCTTCTACTGATACTGCTACCGCTCTGCTGCTGCTGCTGCTACTACTACGCGACGACGACCACCGCATCTCCGTTTCTGCTGTGCCAGCGCTTGTTCATGCTATCAAGCCAGCAACAAAATGACAAAGTCTAGAGATTGTGGATTTAAGCTTTATAAGGGTGCAATTGGTAAGCCCACGACGTCCCCACGTTGAAAGTGCGGATAGACTATAAAATTATGGGCACCAGTCGCACTCTTATCGAGACGTTTCAGAACTGCCTCAGCTTCTTTTTCGAGCGCACATAACAAAAAGCAAGTTTAAATCCTTGCTTTCGGCCGTCCAGCTTGCTTGGAGTTGCAATCATGGGTTCATGTTAGCCTGTCATGATCTCAATGAGCAAATCCACGAAGCCTTCGATTCGTACACTAAGGCCAACCAGAGAGAAGGCCTTATAGGTCTCCCAAGTTGATCGAATTTCGGGAGCTTCCCCTTCACTAAACTAAAGCATCTGCCCGGCGCCTGCGCACCCCCCACTCGGGATGGGACCGGAATATGTCCGAAGATGGTGCGTCCCCGGCTGCCGGGTTGTTGACAGGTACAAGGATGCAAGCGTCCAGCGCCTTTAGGGTTTAGGTTATTCTTTTTCGAGGACTCCTGTCCTTAGGGTTTAGGTTCAGACGGGTTCAGAAGCATCACCCAATAACCAACCACATAAACAATCGCCCGGGGATATTGACTTGCCCGCCAAACACCCATGGCCCGTACATAGCAAAATGGTATCCCCAGCGGCATCCTGATCTGCAAAGAGTCCTCCGAATTACATGCATGCCGTCCAACATTTCTGGACAAGAAAGATAACTGCACAAATGTTTGGGAAACGCTTGAAACCTCACGAACATCAAAAAGCTGCTGCAGTGTGCTCAGCAACGCGACGAGCCGCCCACAAGCTCTGCAGACTAGGACTATACTGGGACGGACTCTTCATCATAGTGCATCCTGCACGCCGGGCACGATCTGGCAGATTTGGATGGAGACATGGACCATGAAGTAATGCACTCTTCATGGAAGACGTGGCCACATGGAAGAAGGGCCACTTCGCTCTCTGGCCGGAAGTCTTCCAAGCAACATAGACAAGTCGCCGAGATAGAATCACGAGCACATGACGCAGAAAGGCTTGATTGCAGTGCCGGGATGGATTTAGACATTTCCCTTCTGCCTGATCCAATGTGGACGCAGCAAAACTGAGGGCTCATCGACTGCAGCATGTCATACCTGCTTGGGGCCCAAACACATCGTGCTTCAGGTGTCTCCTGGCTCTTGACACGTACAACGTGGTTGTTGTTGCTGCTGGTCTCCATGAACATGATGATAATGGAGGTCCCTACCAGCAATATGCAGAGCAGTGGAACACCCACAAAAATCAGCCAGTTCCTCTTGTACTCTGACGGAGACATCGACAGATGCGTCATGGCCATGCCTGCAGCACAAGCCACGAACACGGAGACCACGATCACTACCTGCAGCTTCCTCTGCATATTGCAAGCCATGACCGAGCGGTGCTGCGAATTGTGAACGACAGCACCTGCACCTAAACGTGCCACGCCAACCGGAGCCTAGAACAGCTGCAAGAGTAAGAAGAATGACAAGAAAATCAATAAACCTAGAGTTAGAGTTAACAACGGAAGTTACATGCTAGCTTGCAGTAAGTAACCTAAGACTATCGATTTCCCCAAATATTTTTTAACAGCACAGGTAGCCTTTCCCGACGAATGGCCGCTTTGGGACGCCAAGCCTAGGCCTATACAAGCGTGTCCGCATTTAGTCGTTTTTAAAGGCCTATCGTCAAGGGCGACCTGATCCGTTTAGGGTTAAGGCGGCTAAGGGCTTAGGGTTTTTTAGGGTTTACACTCTCAGAACTCGGACAATCCAGGCCAGGTCTGTCGGGCGCAGTCGGTGTTCTTTAGTTTAGGGTTTAGTCCAGCTGAGGAATCTGCTCTGCTGACCAATGGCTGGTCTTTGGGAGACCCATCTTATGATCTCAGCACCAACTTCTCCGCCTCTCTGACTCTTAGTCCTCCATCCAGACAACGCAGCTGCTTTTACTAAAGCGACTATGTGAAGTAGGAGTTTTACTGCGTGCCTCCCCGAAATGAAACCAACAAAACACACGCACCAAGGCCTATAAAGGTTGTCCTATCTACACTCACCGCACCCATAAAACCGTACCTCATATCCCGCCAACATTCAGTGTCTGGGGCGCCGGCTTCCGCCAGGTAGACCTGGTATTGGTACTCGAGCTTGTCACCTCCCGATGACAGCTCGTGGAATTTTGCGTTTTAGGGCTGAAAGGTTAGCATGTTTTGAGCGCCTTTCCGGCTGCAATGTACTAATGATAATGTCCACCACTTCTGTTCCAGCTCTCGCTCTTTCACGTTGGGACCCTCGCTAAGCCTTCGGACCCTCGCGACGGTTCAGGCTGTGGTAGACGCCTCCTCTTGATGCCCCCAACATAGAGACAGAAGACTCCAAAGGTTAAGGTTTAGGGTGTAGGAATGTAGTTACGTTCACCTTTAAGTTGGTTCTTGAGCTGCTGGATGTTCAAGAGACCCGTGAGACATCAGCAGCACTGCAAGTTAGGCGCTGCGGCGGTTTGGACTAGGGCCTATAGGGCTTAGGGGGAACTCGGACAATGCGGGCGAGGCTGGTTCGGGTCGGAAGGAGCTGCACATTGGCCACAGCACGGTTAAGTACATGTCCAGGCTCCCGCACCTCATCAACCTAAGACACTGAAGGCCTCAGAAACCCGTACGAAGCCATACAGAGGGACTCACGAGCGGCAGCCTGGCATGGCATGTCTGGTTACTGGTTAGTCCCCTTTCGGGGCTGATGCCACATCCCATGTTTCTGTAGCATGCGCACCTTGGGACTTGGTGAAACTATACGTAGGGGTTCACGCAGGGCACGCCATGTTCAAACGAAGGTTTCAATAGGGTCAGCACAGCTGCTGTCATTGCGGGGGGGCTCTCTTCTTGAAGCACGATCATCGTTATAGGCGAAATAAGCGCAACAGCAAGGCCAGGCCCAAGCAAGGGCAGCGCTGCTACCCGCACTGAAGAAACTATATGTGTTGGCTCTGGCATAGATTCTCTCGATAGCCTATCATAGACAGACGAAGAATTACTATGATTTACACTGACAAGAAGTTCGCCTTTTTCGAGCAATTCTCCACAACCTGCACTCATGGGGAATCGTCGAGGAACTTGCCATCAGAAAGTTGGAAGATTCAACGTCCTAAAAGGAAAAGCAACCAAACATGGACTAACATGTCGGTGAAGTTTCCCCATACCATATGTTTGAGGGAAACAACTTACCCTCAACGGGCTTCATTTTGGGGCCTTAATAATCAGCGCAAGGATCCGGGGAAGACTATGCTTTGAGTTGTAGCATCATACCCTCCAAAGCCATTCTTCTGAATACCTGTTTATCTTCTCGTTCTTCTTATTCTTATTCAGACTAACGAACCCTGCAGTTTTTTTGTAAGTACAAAGGCCCCGATATTCGCGTGCAGCGGTGACAGGCCGCCTCCGGTGAACTGAGATTCTCGGTCCTTGAGGAGAATCGCCTGTTGCAGATGCGGGGCCTTAAGGGGTTAAGGGCTTTAAGGGTTTAGGGGTTTAGTTAGGTTTAGAGATCTCGGCGCTCACATTCGGACAATACAGGCGAGGCTTGTGGTCGTAAGTGGGCTTCGGACAAAAGCAGGGATGCCAGTAGTACGCACCCTGCAAAGGTGTCCTTTGCTTTCAATGCCCGAAGCGCTGCATATAAGAGAATGCCTAGTTTCAGGACTTCGAGCCTACTCGTTTTGCACGGGATCGCATAGAGGGGGCAGGGACAGGACAGTCATCGTGAAGGATTTAGGGCTTGCGGGATTTAAGGTTTGGTAATGGCTTGGCACCGTTAGCTAGGCTTCGAAGCCAACTTCCCCCACGGCAGTGTCCAGCAAAATGCAATCTCAGTTTCAAAGATTCGGCTGCAGATCCCCGAAACTAGACGGACTTGACAAATTCAGGACTACATGGAAGCCCATATCGTGACTTCTGCAGACTAGCTATCACACGTAGAATGGAAGGAAATGCATTCACGTGTCCTCCCGTCCGCTGCATTCGAATCGGTGCTAGTTTGGGCTAGGAGCCAGTGCATTCCTGTAACAAGCCTTCCTGATCGTCGACGCTACTTGAAGAGAGTGTGACGGCACTGGCAAATGCCATCAGACTCTTTCTTCACACCAGAAGATGCTCCTTACGCAAGCTCTCCAGAAGACGACTACAAACCGCTCCCTCGGCTCGTTACTTCGGAACCGGCAGTTTGTAGCATGGAAAAAACTGTCAAAACATCGTCGAGAAGGAGGACCCCTTTTGCTCCGCAACTATCGATCCGAGATCCCCAACAGAAACGGCGCGATGACAACTTGAGCTAGGTCTCTCTACATGTATTTTTATATGTGCGGCCAAGGGCGCCCAACGCTCGTCATCCTTCACCTGAGGGCGGTGCCGTGTCTGTCTCGTCGGTCCCATGGATGTGCGAGGATGTTTGTTTAATGGGGCTTTGGGCACAGCTGCAGCGACAGCTGCGTGAGGTGTGCATAGATTCAGGAGCGCGACTGCTGGCTGCGACAAGAAGCCTTTCCGGGGGATCTCAAGACCTCTTCAGGTCAGGTCGGCATTCTACGCCACACCATCCTACACCCTATGGAAAAAGGGATCGGAGCCTAAACCGCTCTGATTGAGGCACTTGTGGTACTTGGGCCTTTGGCCGGTGCTCGGGCACAAGGCAACGGGATACATAAACCGGGCGGCCAAGTCGAAGAGCGTCCGGTCACCCGCTTTCTCGTTCAGCCGTGGTGTGGTCTGAGACGAAACGCAGCAGTTTCGCGGGTTCATGCGGTTCGAGTACTGGTATAGAGGATGAGATACGACAGATACGAGGGCAAGTTCGCAACCCCAAGCCACAACACCCATCCACCAACACAGGAGCATGCGCGCAGCGCGCTTCAATGATCTCTGCTAGTTTCTGTCTAGCTTCCGGTCTCCCTTGCCAGACTCACGAGATCGCCCTAGCAACACTTACCGCTCCTCTAGGTTGGCCTCGTTGCCCAACACACAATGATTTTTGGAATAAGCCCTTGCCTTAAACCGAGAATCGCTACATCGCAACGCACATCCTTGATGTAGAAGCAATAGCCCCGAGTAAGCACTTGAACAATTTAAACTTAATTGGAAGCTCTGAAGGCGTACTAGGTTTGTCCATCCGTCAACAGGTAATGTGCGGAACAGTTGCACGGAACCAGGGACCGTTAGCACAGCGGAACAATCTGAATGCGTAAGCCCTCCGGCGACGACGCCAAAACCTGAACTCCACACCCTTACTTACACTACATTGGCATGATAGTACCCGGTACCCCATTACCCCCCCAAGACCCAAAAAGGCAGGTTATCTACTAACTGCCAGGTCCGTCCTCAAGACCCTCGAGCCTCCGAGGGCTGCATCGTGGCGCTTGAGATCTTCAAGGGAGGACAACCAGGCGAAGGCATGGCTGAAGCAAGCGGCGACTTTAAAGAACAGGACCCAGAAAAAAGCGGTGGGCCTCAAAAGGCTAAGAGCAGTGCGTCTTGAAGCCTGCCGCTAGCTATACTGCACCTTCGGGATTTGAGCTGAGAGCCGAAGCAGAGCAGAAGGTGCGCAGAGCTTCTTGCCCCGATGCGGGTGTCTGGGATGCTGTATTCCACTGGGTGGTGGCGGAGTATGAGGAGGGGACTAGTAGTGCTAGCGGTAGTTGAAGTCGACGTTGTAGTGGAGGTGGTGGTGGTCGTGGCCGTGGTCCCTGGTAGTGGTACCGCGGGTGGTAGCGGTAGTGGTGGTGGCGGTGGTGGATGGTGGTGGCGGCGGCGGCGGTGGTGGTAGTTGTAGCAGCAGTAAGAACAGCAATTTTTGGACGAGCACGCTGGTACTGGTATAATTGTATAACTGCTACTAGGACTAGTACAAGCAGCAGTAGTAGTCGGCGTCATGGACGTCGATGTCGTCGTGGTCGTGGTCTTCTTAATGGCAGTGGTAGTAGTCATAGCGTTACCAGTGGAACTGAGAGGTTCGGGTTTGGGGCAGATGTGGAGATGAGGGCGCAGCAAAGTCTGATCTTGGTGAACCTCGGTGGCTCTAGAATCTTCTGCATACTATGGAGCCTTCGTCCACAGGACTGCTCTAAGGATGAGTCGCAAGGTGGGTGTTGAGTAGAAGCATCTGCGTGTTGCAAAAGGCATCTGTCTGGCGGGTTCACCCTGAATGCCCCCAAAATGGGTGCCCTGCCGGGTTCGGTCCAGCAGCTGACTGCCAGGCGGCGATTCGGCCCAACTGCAACAGGATCGGGTGGTGAAGAGTTCAACTAGGCGGTCGGATGAGTATCAGAATATCAATTACGCCTTGAAGCTTCTAAAGAACTTTTGAACGCCAGTCAGTCAGGCCAACTGTTTGGGGACCTTTGGAAAGATAAAAAAATACTGCGAGTTATACCTATCCCTGGAGGGGCAAGCCTTGGCTGTCTTAAGACCAATACGTGCCCAGGACCACCCGAAATCTCTGCTTTCCCGGACATGGGAATCGATAGAGATAAGCTGACCTTTGGCTCTATAGTTTTCTGATTTCGAACACACTTTTGCGCAGTTCACATGTCATACGATCCTGCAGGCCAACCCATAAACACTCCCTAAACTCGAAAACGATTCTTCCAAGCCAGATCGAAGCTTTAGGCCGAAAGGTTAGTATAGAGTTTATAGGGCGTATATAGGTGTCAGGGATCAACTTGCAGGGTTTAGGGGTTGCTTGAGATTCTCCTCTTGGTGCTTGGCTTTACCCAAGAATGTCATGAGGAGCGTAATTTTTCGAAGCCATGAACCCGTAGTGAGAAGCTTGAGAATCAGATCCCTCGTCCCCGAATGCCGAGCCTATACAGCTCACCCACGTGCCGCTTGCTAAGCCTGAAGGTCACCAGGAGGACTTGACTTGGGTTCTGAAAACTTTCCATGTTGCAAGCTATAATCACTCGTCTAAGTGGGAGCGTGAGGGATGCGTCAGGAACTCCGGCTGCTGTATTTTTTGGGGGTTTGGGGCCTGGACTTCCTTCTGCTGCTTTGTGGACTTCGGCGGTCCAACATCTACTGCTCCAAGGCTTACTGACAAAACTGTGTAGCCAAAGTTAGACAACCACACTAACCCACAAGGCACACGCCGAAGAGAGAAAGTGCGCAGCTTTCTGAGCACCGTGCCAAGCATCTTTCGTCTTCGACATGGCACTGATGACGGAGTGCCTCAGCCGTTCGAGGTCCGCTCCATAGCGGCCCAAAATGAGCGATGTGTGGGATCTAGTCTCGGAGCACTTTAAGTCTTACCGCCAACTTGGCAAGACTTCTGGGGCCACACCTTGCATTCCGATATCCTGCTTGCCGGTGATGACAGTGCGGTCTGGAGAAGAGGCCCGAACTTGGAAAGGATCCTTGTTCCTCACCGCTACGGTGGTCGTGCAAAACTAATCCCAAGGCAGCAGCACCCTGATGACTCTCCCCATTACTGGCCCAAGTACTGTCGAACAAGGCCTTACCTGTAAGCCCAAATCCTACAGAATAGTATGTTCGTCGTGACCCTTATATAATCGCAGGTTGCAGACTTGTACGTTAAAGAAAGTAGCCAATTAGAGCCGTAGGCAGGGTTAAAGTTCAGGGTGAAAAGACGTGGACTCTGACGCTCAAACTCCAAGCATTTCGTGCGTTCCCAAATCTCTCTTGCATGCTAGCTCACCCCTGATCAAGCCTTTGTATGCACCGGTTTTGTCAACAAGACTCCCTTGGTGAAACATTACCAAGAGCCCTTGTGGTGCTTTGCTCGGGCACAACATATCAAAGCTTCATTCGTCGATATCGAATCCCGCAGTGGTGCCGGTTTTGGTCTTAGACGCCATAAGGTCCTTCGGAAGACGGCCAATCAACCACATCCAAACCGGGACTCTGCGGCATCGCCTCGAGCAGCTCACACGCAATTCTAAGTGTGCGGCGGACTGCCTCCAGCAACGGCAGCCAAACCTGCCACCGCTCAAAGATGTGGGCCGCCCCCATTCCGACGCTAGATTCTAGGCCGATTCTAGGTGAGGTTCTTGGTTCGCAGTGCGGATTCGTGAGACAAACCCGTGTCTAGGGACTGGGGCTATTGGATATGTGGCCTGTGCTGGCGGTAACAGTCGGTCATCAGTAAGTCATGCAGCTACCCCCCCCCCCCCCCCCCCTCCGAACAAGATGCCCCTCGAAGGGTCGAACACCTTTCTGCCAATACGGCAGCTGACGGAGGTTGTCTTTCAAAGCCGGTAGCCGCGATCGTTTCGAGGCTACCCGTCGAGACAGACACTTTTGGCACCTTTCGAACATGTCAGGTTGAACTGGAAGTGGGTACATTGATTATTTAGTCACTTAGTGAGTTAAAACAAATATACCTCAATCCCACACCCTCCTCAGTGCGTGTATGCTCGCCTGATCTCGCATCTCGAAGCCGAAATCCTAAGCCCTACACCTCCCTCATCCGTAAACCCTCGACAATGGGATGTCCTGGCCGCCCAGCTGTGAACCCAAGTTGAGCACCGAGCGAACCGCTGCAGTCGATCTCATGTCTGTCCGGAGAGCCCATCCCTCCAGGGGTGAGTGTTAAGATTCGAGCACTTCTCTGAATTAGGGTCCCTGTTATGTTCGGGTCTTGTTTGTAAGGGTGCTGTACTATTTTGGGTTCCCAAAAAGGGACCCTAACTCAGAGAAGCCACCCAGGAACAATTTTTGGACGTCTACGAGTTCCGGGTGGTTTGGGCGGTTCAGGTCCCGGCTAGCCTCTGGGATTGCTCTCTGCCAGACCACGACCCTGGGACGTGTTGAAAAGAGGTCTGGACCCGAAACCCTTTCGAGTTTAGAAAAAACTAAACCCTAAACCCGAAACCTTTTTAAACATAATGTTTAGAATTGGAACCCTCCAAAACCAACTGGCTACGCGTGGCCTGCACGCTTCTTTGCAGTCAATTTCGGGTTTCGACTGCTGGAGTTGGGGGCTTCCCAGATGGTTGAGCTCGACTGTTGCCTCCCGCCTTCCAGGCTTGACCATGAAACTTGCTTTAAAGGAACTTGGCGTCCTCAAACGGTGGTGTTAGTTGCTTGGCAGCTGGGCTTGGGATGATTTTTGCTGGCTTGGAGCATGAGCTGCTGGCACACTGGCTGCTTAATCTCGAAGAAATCAAAACCATTCAACCTTGACAATAACTGACGCACTGGCTGGTACTTCGGGGTGCCTGGCTAGCAAGGCTCACAATCGATGCTTCGCTTGCGAGGCGCCGGACAGCGTGCCACCTTGAAGCAAGTATTCGCACGTGTCACAAGAGCAGGAGGAAGGGCCAAAATGAGAAGGCTCTCATTTTAGACCTACGAGGATCTCCCCGGATGGACAGGAGTTTCCCGGTAGAAATTTGGTTTCGAAGCTGGGTCAGCAACGTCGCTGAGGAGAATTGCGTTGAACGCGTTCGGGGCTGTGGTCTACTTGCTCTTTCCCGGAGAGGACCATGAAAGGAACAGAAATGCAACAACATCCTTCCTGCCTATCTTACCAGTATCTGTCTCCTTGCAGAAAGGACGGCTGCTTGACCAAGCCCCCTTTTGGGACTCAGCCGTCCGGCCCTTCTCCCTGTAATTGGTATCTTCGTAATCAGAATCGAGGTATTTGGGTATATGCTATAACATATCTAAACGTATGTGTTTATCTGTAAGGGAACCGAAAGTACCGTATTGGTAGCATTGCCTCAGGCCTTTTTTTACCACACGGTCCAGTCACTTGAGCCAAAGTCCGCGGAGCCAAAGTCGAAGAATGCAGAGCTCACAGAGGGGGCTCAATATTTAGAATAGGATCTTGTAGTATATTTGGCTTGGTACACTTCTCGATTTGTGCGTGTCATCCTTGCGCAGGGGCCATGCTAATCTTCTCTGTATCGTTCCAATTTTATCGGAGGATTCCCTTCTACAAGATACCTGAAGTGTATCTAGGGACTACAAGGGGGATACTACTCTACTCATTGTCCCGACCTCCATATTGCAGCCAGCTGAGGCTTGGGCTCATTGCCTTCGCTCCGCTTGTGGAAGAAGCCCTGCCAGGCGCAGTAGGCTTTACTATGTAACATGATATGATTTTGTATGATATAATATGAATTATAGGCGTTCTATGAAGGTTTACGGCTTAGGGTTTGTAGCTTAGAGTCCTGCGGGTTAAGTAGGATTTCGGGCGTCATTGAAAGAGCTTACTGTGGGCCTGAGTGGGCTTAAACTGATTACACCCCCCCCCCTGCAAGAACTTCAAGGTAAGAGCCATAATTGTGGGATCACTGGTGCAAGAGGGAGGGGATGAACATTGAGATTTGCGTTGAGGTGGCTTGTTGGGTTATGACAGGCCCGGGAATTTCAACTACTGCCACATGCCGCGCGCAGTACAGTCCTGGTGAGGATGCAGCAGGCCCGCGTGGACAAGGACCGCCTGCATGGGGCACCAGAAAGTCGGTGCGCATCAGCCGCAGAATGGAGCTAGTACATGTACATGCATAGTGAAACTAAGTCGATACTGGATGATCGGCTTTGGGACTACTTGGAAGCTAGGCGGCTGGCCGATTGAAGGCCGTACTGTGTACGAAGCTGGTGCTCAGATCCGCAAGAAACACTTCACCGATGTCCGGCCACTCCTACTGCTTGTATGAGCTCTTATTATTATTTGCTAGCTACACTCTAAACCCATGGATTTATGCAGCAGCTGTGAACCATAGGCTAAACTTCTAAACGAAACCCCGAAACCCTAAACCCTGCTGAATAAACCCCTATTCCACTGATTCAAGCCCCTTGCGTTCAGACTTAGTAGCCCAGGATCTTCCTGGGAACGGCTTGGAAAATCCTAGGGTTTGCGGTTTAGGTCCATATACCCTTATAAGAGATCCTGTGCTCCTTTAAAGACTCTACATGGCTTCTATAATATCCACACCGGACAGTGCACATGGCTCTTTTTTCGTCCCCTTTGAGGATAAGCTCAGACTGGTGTCGAGTTTGGCATGGATGATGTGTGTAGTCTTACATGTGCGTGTGTTCACTTCTTCATGCTCTGCTTGCTTACTATTTGTGCTCAGCTGTATCGCGTGTTTCTGCATCTCTACGTTGTGCTTATGTAGAGCCTGTGGTGCTACGCTGCTTCTGGCTCCCTCCCAGGATATTCCCGGTCGCTGAAGCGCCGCAATCGCCGTGGGGCATCTGGGCTCGGAGATCGGCAAATGACAATACCAATTTCTCCTTGGCAAGCAGTTTGGAGTTTGGGCTTCAGGGTGCGGGTTGGGGTGAGGGGGGTGTAGGATTTGGGCTAAGGGGCGCATAGGGGTTGCGGACCCTGCTAAAGCTAAGGCTGTGTCCGAAGACCTCCACACGCGGGAAGTGCAAGATGGACTCGCCAGAACCGCGCTGCTCCTGGCTGCCGTCCACAATGCAAGCGTAACCTCAGGCACTCAATGCGACAGGAGTCCCTGTTCACGAGCTGAAGATCTGGGACATGTAGCTGCAGGCGCTGATACTGATACAAACTGAGGGCAAGGCGGCGATCCTGCAGGGTGTGTCGAGGTGACCGGGTTTAGCAGGTTCCAGGGGATGAGTCCGTTTGCTTTGCCTCCGGCAGTTTCTCAGTGCCCTGCCAGCACTTTGGAGGGTATCAGTTGAAGTGAAAGTTGTGACAAGCCACGACTTCCAGGGCGGAAGGCGCATACTACATTTCTACACAGAACCCGACGTCCTGTAAGAGGCCATGTGCCGGAGGGAAGAACAAAAACTCAGATTGGTGTATCAAGAACGTCCTGCATGCCTATGTCACGATGCCTTGCAAGGAACTTTCTACTGTCAAAGTTCGTTCTGTGGGCTCTTTGCTGTTCAGGATTGTTTTGCTTTAGGTTTCGGGCTTTGGGGCTTTAGCTGACAAGGAGAGGCGGCCATGAATGACAGAAACAGTTGTAATTACTAGCTCCGAGCTGCTGGCATATTATCAACTGGTATGCGTATTTCTTTTTCGGACGACCTCCCAATTTTGCAGACCCTGGTCGAAAAAGGTCTACCGAAGAGCCTAAACCAAAATGTATTTTACAATCGTGACGCGAACCCGAAGTTCCTTTCCACCCGAGCCTTCTGCCCAACAGTTCCAGAAAGCAAGTGATAGAGGCCTAAATGATTACCAACAGAATTTTTGGGGGGTTCCCTATTATGACTATGTACCGCAAAACCCTATTCTTATTATTAAGGCCCCTATGTTACTGAACCCTCACAGCCTCCAAGCCTCTCAGTGGCGACACCCACAGGGATACCTTGCGGAGGCTTCGGCCGGCTTCTGAATCTCTTCGGGCACTTGTGCGGGATGTACTGTCCTCATTTACAGCGAGAGAAAAATACCTGGACCCCAAAAGTATGTAGAACTACCTTTTAGGTATTGGCCCATTATTTTACCAACTTTTGAGGGCTTGGGTGAATAAGAATCATAATGCCAAAAACTGACAGTAACACCAACATTAGCAAATTGCTTGCGCCCGCCCTAGCGCCGTCTTGCGCGGCGCGCGCAGGGCTTTTCATTCATGTCAACATAGCCGCTTCACAAACAATTGCTCATGCTTCAAGGTAAAGCGGTAAATTGACATGCATATCGACTTAGCTCCTGGCCCGTGTGACTTGAACGAGTCAAGGCAGGTACTGAGGACTAGTTCAAGTTAGATAAGTTAGATGCTCGCCATGCAGAAGGTACGAGGACAGGCCCGGAGTTTAAACCTGTAAGGGCTGGGGACTCAAATGATGCAACAGTGCAGGAACTCATTCTCCATAGAGTTAAAGGTTCACGGCCTACAATGTGCCATGGACACAGCAAAAAATCGACAGCCTTTAGGGCTCGGTGGACATTCGAGTAGTTTCGCGGCAAAAACAGCCACCCACCTCAAACGAGCTAAAAACTTCAACGCCGACAGCTGCAAGCAAGACCTGTTTGAATCCTGTAGTGTGTTACCGTGGGTCGCCACCACATCTTTCGCGCAAAAGTGTTTTCCTTTCACGCCTGCTTTATCAGGTCTTTCGCGGACCCTTTACACCCTATCACGTTGCCGGTCGTGTATAACCCGTAGACACGGACCTTTAGAACAACCACAATCTCTTCTTAGCCACCATGCAGATCCTAATGCCTGCCCTGCTCTTCCTACAAGAGGCGGGGGTTTAGAACGGCATCCATTTGCGCAGGAGGCCTTAAATTTCCCAAATCCCGAAAATCCCAGAGGTCAAGGCGAGATAATGACTAAGCCCGGTGGTCATGATTAAGCCCTCGCTACATCTTGAAAACCTTTCAATATCAGCAACATCATTACGTGCCCCCTGCTTCTCAACACTTTCCAGCTCCTAAGCCTTCAAGATGCCGAGAAGCATGGTCCCTTGGAGCTGAGGTGTGTCCGCCCGGAAAGAAGGTGACCTTCAGTACTTTCCGCAATGACGCCCATGTCGAAGACAAACTTGCATGGGTTACGGGTTTCTAGAGTTAGGGGTTTAGGGGAGAACTCTACCGATGCACGTTGCACCCACACCGCGCAGAAACTCAGAGATCACTGAGTCGGCCCTAGGGTCGGAGGAGGCCCGGAAGTGTAGAACCTGAAAACCCAAACTTCTGACACTGAATTCTTTGGTCAGTTGATGTATGCACTGCAGGGTCGAGGTGCTCGGAATCCAAAAAAAATCGGACTCAAGGTGCTCCATGGTTCGATAGCCCAACACCTTCGGAACCAATAGTACCCTTTGTTTGAACCCAGACTCTGCCAATCACCTGGGATAGTACCCTAAACTCCAAACCCTATAGCCCTATAAACCTTAAACATGCAATTGGGGTCCCTGCCATCAGGTGGATCGCGGTGCCCTCATCGGAGGTGGCCCTGAAGCGGACTTTCAATCAGTCTTTCGAGCCTGCGGTTGCAGCACCCAGACCACCCACCACGGTCACCACATCACTTCAGCATGAGCTGACTCCTCAAAACTCTACGGCCACAACCCATGCAAGCAGAGTGGCCAAGGAAGACAAGGGCCAGGGTTGATGAAACTGGAACGTTCTGACAGAATCCATGTGGCATTCAAGGCGCCAGGCCGACCGCTGACCCTGCCCAAGTGCCTCACTTCCTCCACGAAGGGCACACCCATGGCATACGGCATTCGACCTGCAAACAACAGGCATCCAGAACTCTGGAAGTCTTAAGGACACCGTGGAAAGCGTAAACATACTGTGGGCAAGCAAGGCTTCACTCCTCACACACCAACAAGGTTTCAAGTTGAAACGTGGAAGCCGAAGTCTTCAGCCCGAGGCCCAACGTCTCGCGAAGGTCCCACGTAATGTGGCTTCCCTCGGAAGTCGGCTTCGAAACCACGGCGCAGTGGAGCACCTTCGGGAGACGAGAAGGTAAAGTGGAGGCATAAGAGTTAATGCTCTCACGCCACAGCCCTGCCAGACGAGGTCTATGAGGTGCAAGTCAGCGTGTTTAGGGTGTATCGTTTCATATTCTTCCCTCTGTTTGGGGATCTCTTTTTGCCGCCCCTGCTGACTCATGCTGCACAGCCGGCGCCTAAAGTGAGAACACCGCAGACATATGCCCGGGCTTTCGAGCGACATGGGTCAACAATCACAACACACCAGATAGACGACTGGCACAGCATCACCAAATTCACATCGTGCGAACGTCTCCCAAAGATACGATGCATGTTACTGCTCAGGGTCTAAGCTTCAGGGATTACCCGGAGCCCGGTTTGCAATTATCGCTTGATATAGATCGCTTATGCCTTGTGGCATCATGGAACCTGCCAGCAACATCGAGATAGAGAGTATCTGTGCATAGCGTCATTGCAACGGAGTATTGGCTCACACTTTGATTTGGGTGGTCCATGGGTCGCCGCGGCAGCGTCACAGATGCTGGAGCGAATCCCAACGGAACTAAATGCTCCAAGGCAAGACAGTTAGAAGCAGGTCTGCCACAGATTCTTCAGCTGGTCCTGCACGGCAATACTATCACCACCACCCTCGTCATCACCCCAGGTCACGACGGATCCATCACCAAGAGTGGCAGCAAAGGCAACGTCAGTAGCTTGTATCTGCTGCACCTTCTTCAGCTGATCCTGTACAGCCCTACTGTCACCACCACAACGAGCGTCGCCCCAGGCCAAGACAGATCCGTCACCAAGAATGGCAGCGAAAGCTCCGCTAGATGCTTGGATCTGTTGCGCATTCTTCAGTTGATCTTGCACAGCACTACTGTCACCACCAAAGACAGGATCACCCCAGGTCACTACCGATCCGTCGTCGAGAATGGCAGCAAAGGACGATTCAGTTGCTTGAATCTGCTGCACAGTCTTCAGCTGATCCTGCACAGCACTACTGTCACCACCACGCTCAGCATCACCCCAGGTGACGACGGATCCATCACCAAGAGTGGCGGCAAAAGCGCCGTTAGAGGCCTGGATCTGTTTCACATTCCTCAGCTGATGCTGCACAGCACTGCCGTCACCACCACAGCGAGCAAGACCCCAGGTCACGACCGAGCCATCAGCAAGAATAGCGGCAAAGGCAACGTCCGTAGCTTGTATCTGCTGCACATTTTTCAGCTGATTCTGCACAGCACTACTGTCACCACCAAGGCGGGCATTACCCCAGGTCAAGACGGATCCATCACTGAGAATGGCACCAAAAGCGTAGCCGGTGGCTTGTACTTGCTGCACAGTCTTTAGCTGGTCTTGCACAGCCCTACTGTCACCACCAAAACGAGCATCACCCCAGGTCACCACAGATCCGTCCCCGAGAATGGCGGCAAAGGCCAATTCAGTGGCTTGAATCTGCTGCACAGTCTTCAGCTGATCCTGCACAGCACTACTGTCACCACCACGCTCAGCATCACCCCAGGTCACGACTGATCCATCACCAAGAGTGGCAGCAAATGCGCCGCTAGAGGCTTGGATCTGTTGCACATTCTTCAGCTGATCCTGTACAGCACTACTGTCACCACCACAACGACGACGACCCCAGGTCAAGACAGATCCGTCACCAAGAATGGCAGCGAAAGCGCCGCTAGATGCTTGGATCTGTCGCACAGTCATCAGTTGATCTTGCACAGCACTACTGTCACCACCAAAAAACGGATCACCCCAGGTCACTACAGATCCGTCGCCGAGAATGGCAGCAAAGGCGGCTTTGGTGCCGCATGCTTGAACTTGGTTTACGTGCAAGGTCAGCAAATCACCATTCTGCATGCTGGCATCCTCAAGTCGCGCAGATTCATCAAGAAAGCTTCCAGACGAGTCCACCAGCCGCCCTCGGGCGATTCCGAGTGCAGCTTGCGCCCGACGCTTCAACGTTCCCACCTGTCTGGGGTACACTGTCTACAGTATACCTATAAGAAGGAACCCTAAGGAATATGTAGTTTAGTTAGAATTAAAAGCATGACATGAATGAAAAAAAAACTAAGGAATAGCGTTTGTAATTCTTCTAGCTTCTCTATCAAAGCCTAAAAACCCTATACCCTCACATAAAACACCTGATAGGACCCTTCAGATCACGCCTCCTCTTCCCAGCCGGCTTCCAGGAAAGCTCTCTTGCCACTGAGCAGCCCCACTTCCACAGCAAGCGACATGTCGCAAACCCTTGATTCAGCAATAACAAAGAACAAATGCAGTATGAGTGAGAAACACGAATCATAATAGCAGTGCGACTGATATTTGGTAGCAACAAAACTAGTAACACTGATAGCAGCAACAATCAGCAAAGCGAGTAGCAATAAACATGTGATAGTAATGAGGCTGGTATAATATGCTAAACAAGCACCAGTGGTCGTCGTCATCGTCGTAGTCGTCGTCGTGGTCGTTGTTGCAATCGTCGTCGTCGTCGTCGTCATCGTCGTTGTCGTCGCCGTCGTCGTCGACTTCGTCGTTATGCTAGTGCTAGTGCTCGCTCGTGCTCGTCGTCGTCGTCGTTGTCGTCCTGGTGCTGGTGCTGGTGCTGGTGCGGTAGTGGTGGTGATGGTGGTGGTGGTCGTCGTCGTCGTCGCAGTAGCAGTAGCCGTAGCAGTAGCAAAAGCAGCACAGTGGCAGTTGTCGTAGTAGCAGCCGTCGTCGTCGTCGTCGTTGCCGTAGCCGGTTCTTATCTTATTCGATCCGAAGAGAGAATCCGATGCAGACCCTTGTGGGTTGCATTTCGAGCTTCGGGGGTTTATGCTGCAAGGCCCGGGCCTCGTTACAAGATGCCACATGTTGACAAGTCCTTGCGTGTTTCTGTATTTTGGGTCGCCTTTCGGCCTGCCTAATTATGTGAGAAGCTATGCAGAAGCAGGTTGTGTACAAAGCTTGGCGGTAGAGGTTTCAAGTTCAATGACAGCATGGCCACACGCATGAGGAGAAGGGTTTGACAGTCGGGAGATTCCTACTTTACTTCGGAGTCAACTGACAACACGCTGAGGACTCCTCTCGACCGTGAAGGCATGTGTCCGAGGGGAAGAGAAGGCAGTGGCGGGAATTCATCTAAGCTAGCGTGGTGCGTCATATCGAGGTTGGAGAACTCAGCAATAAGATCCCCCCTTGTATCCCCTTATGTTCCCAAAAACATGAGACAGAAAACGCCTACTTCTTCCTATGCTTGCTATCAAAACTGTTATGACTACGAAAGCCCCTCTATCAGAGGCCTCCAGGCAGATGTCCAAGGTGTCCGTTGTCCTGGGAAAGCTCTTGGCAAAGATTAGGGTTTGGGGTTTGCGGTTCGGGCTTGCGGGACTAGTGCGCTGTTTCTAGAACTTCAAGGATCAGATCTCTGAACAACGGAATCTTGGTGCCGGGGGATGGTTATCTCAGGCTCGACAAGCTAACTGTCGATCCGATTTTTCTGGTATCATGAGAGTCGAAAACATCTTGCAGGTGCCTGTTTTATGTCTGCAGTTCATGAAGGGATAGTCGTGGGTATGTCATGACGGTCTCTACGTCCTGACACGTCTCTGGAGCCATCCGGTGGCTTCTCTCCCAAACGAAATAGGTCTGTCGCTCCAAACCTTTTGTTCGCCTTTGTCCTGGAGGCATGGAAGACCTGGCTCTTGAGACCAATAGTCTCTATCGCAGTGGTACTGGTAAGAACAATCATAAGTAACCAGGGGCATGCCGAAGCTTCTCTGAAACCCAGGCTCGGAAGATGACTGTGAGGTGCAAAGTTTATCCAGCCTTGGCTCGCTGCGCTTCAGGGAAAGGAACGGAAGCTTGGAGCCTAACAGGTGCCATGCCCATAGCCCATATTGCTGCCATAAAACATGTCATTGCAGTGCCTTTTTGGCCTTGAAAATATTCAGGCCGTCCTAGGACTAGGCGCCAGGATGCCAACAAACAAATCGGCCGCCAACATGAAATAAACCGACTATGGCAACAACTACAGTGCTGCTCCCAGCAGAAGCAGCGGCAGCGGTGCCGGCAGCAGCACCACCACCAGCAGGAAACTATCGTTCCAAACAACGACGTTCAGAACTAATCAAGAATCACGACTCCACCTGAAGCTTTGGATATCTTCACGTCTTCCAACTAGATCACAAGACCTTGAGCCAAGACCGAAGAGCCTTCTTCTGTGCCGTGGCCGCTGGTGAAGAGGCGCTCGCGCTTGATTCCAGCGACGTCAACGCGGGCGAGCAGAATGCTGCTCTTTGGCCTGCCAACATTAGCATGCTGAGTTTCAGCCTGGCGCTCTCCGCTGAAAGCAGATTGCAGAGCTGCCGTTCAGGGCATAGCTGACAGCATCGGAGGTCACGCAAATGCTGAGTGCAAATTGTCAATCCTTGGAGCCCAAGTAATTCGAGCTCGTTCGGGCTTCTAGCTCTCCAGGTCTATGAGTTACTCGTTTACGCTTTACCATGCTTTTCATTTACCTGCAAGTCTTGGAGTCGTGGCTAAGCCAGGCTGAGAGAATACGATGCTCTGCGTTGCAACAAGCCTCTTCACGTGGATGCTGAAGTTGCCCTCCCGGTGCATCTTACCTTGCAGCACGAATAGGATAATATGGCATAGGATAGTATAGCAGGTGCGCATGTTTTTTTGCGCTAAAGTATGTCCTGGTGTACACCATGTTATCTGGACACTGGTTGCGTCTTATCATATGCGGCCCTGAACCAGCTAAACCCTAATGCAACAAACCACCGAACTGAGTATAGAGATCTTACGTAATAAAACTGCAGAAACCACTGTACCATAGGAGGAACTGCATTCAGAGCAACCCCACATTACATGACCCCTAAAGTTTCCTGACTAAATGGACATCGATGGGCCCGGACGCGATTCAACGAGGCTGTCAGTTGTCAGGGCTGAAGGGGTGTGAACTCTAGCAGGCCGATTGCCGTCCCACACTCCCGCGAAGCTCTCGTGAAGACCTATTTCTAGGTTTTAATTGTTCTGCTGCATTTACTATTCGCCACATAGCATGTATCATGCATGGGTACCCCCGCCCGCAAAAAATCACTATAGCGGTGGCTACTTGCTGTCATCGCAAGCAGCGAAATCCTACCGATGCTGGACCAGGACAGGCAGCTCTCGAAGCCGCTAGGGTAGAAGCGAAGGCCCAGAGTGCACGCCTTCGTGGAAATGGCTTCGCCAGTCTCGAGACCTTTCCATTCCAGGAAACTTGTCTTTTTAGCATCCTCAGCCCTAACCCCCTTTTCTTAAAGCATCTGTCGGGAGCAACAGCATAGAAAGCTTAGGGCTTAGGGGTTTCGACTCTCACACTCGAGGCTGAGGGGTTTGGGGGTTGGTTTTCGAGGATGGGGGCCGGCGAGGTGACTTCCGGGGAGTTTTAGGTGCAGATGATGGCTTTGGTGGTTTTGGACCTTGCATCTCAGAGCTGGAGGGGTTCATCACCGGCTTAGGAAGTTCTGGGCTTGGGACCATTGGTTGCAACGGTTCCGGGGGTGATGGGTGCTTCTCCAAGGCGCTCCACTCCGGGCTGCTGATGCTGGCCTGATGCAGCAAAGAGCAAGTCACGAAGCACAGGTGAGTCGTGTCTTTTCGACTAGTGTCCTGGCCCGGAAAGGCTGCTACTACACAGGCTGACCACTTCTACGATAAAGGAACTTGAAGGTTGCCACAGACACTGCTATTGCAAATCTGGGGATTTTGCATGCGTTTCTTGCGGCAGGGTTACAACTAGCAGTTGCAGCAAAGTCGCTGCATGTCGTTGCATTAGTTTCTGCATGATGTTTCGCCTGCTTCTCGCGCAGCATGCAACACCCGTGTGAACAGTTGGACTTGCTGCTGCGAGTTACACTGTTGAATCGCCTTTGCCACCCGACCCGCAAAGCCCGCCTGCGACATCGGTACAAACCTTATGCAGGCCTATTCATTTTGCAACCGGCATCCTCTGAGTTTTCTTGCGTAACATAGATTGAGTGCTCAGGTGCATTATGCTGCTGCTTTCAAGAGCGCTCGAAGACCTGCAACTGGCTAGCAGCTGCTTTGAGAAATTATAATGTTCACCCCTCGAGATTTCTGTGCCACTACTTCTTGCAGTTGTATTTCCGATGCCTCAACCGTACGATCTACATTGATTGTCCTCTTTCCCAGCTTGGGACAAGGAGCTCCTGCCCAGGTTTCAGAAGTCAACAAGACAACCTCAAGCTGAGACAAGCGGCGCCCTTTCGATGCGGCACTTGCCAGTGGAATTGGAAGCCCTCCTTGCGGACCAGCCGAAACTCCTGCTCGGCACAGCCGCACGGAAGGGTACAGGGTCGAGCTTGAAGGGCTTTCGACACTCATACTCCGACAACCCTGGCAAGGTCTGCAGCGATACTGGGTTTAGCGAGTCCTTGGAGGGTTTAGAGACTTGGCTTAGGCTTAGACCTCACTTTCGGCTGCAATTGTGGCAGCCCTCTTGCGCGACTGCATCGACTTCCAAACTGTAGGGCCTGGGTGGTTGGATGTCGGGGGAGGCATCTCTCTGGGGCAGATGACCACGCAGAGTCTGGAGAACTTGCAGAGGTCCTTCAAAGCTATGTGAGCCGAATCCCACAGCTCGACGTGAGGTTCGCAGCAGCAACACTTAGCACGTATGGATAGTGTTTCAGGTACACAACAACTGCAACAGTCTTGGCGCAGCAACTATGCATCTGCTGAGTCTGAGAATCTCAGCAGGTCAGTGATCAGCAATGATCAGCAACCATGACCACTCAAGAAGCACACACAAGCGTAAGACATCCCAAAGCGAAACCGTAAACACTATACTAACATCCAACCCGAAACATCCAAGCAATGAACTTGTCTGTCTGGCCACCCGACGGCTGAACCTGGGACCCAAAACTTTTCTCTGGACAAGAGACCCTGCACGGCAGAATCGTACAGCACCTTAACTCCATCAACCTTACCTCTAAACTGTTAGCAACTGAAGTCCAGCCCTAAAGCAAAGCCGCAGGACCTGTAGGAGTCTCTGCGACAGCATACACCAACCGATCCCCACGCCGAGCTTCGCACTGCAACAACCCCTCCAAAACCCCAGACCGCGCGACCTAGTCCAGAAAACATCAGATCTTGTGGTGTATAGATAATCGCAATAATTCGTACACTTCCTAACCAGGAACCCTAGAGAATAGTAATGGCGATTGTTTGATTATTTAGGATCCCCCCCCCCTCTTTTGTAAAAGCACCCTCTGACTCCCGTCCAGGGCATCAGCTTCGGTAACTTCGGAGATCCGGGTCTCGTCCCGAAGGATGTCGCCTAAGTGTGGATTAAGTCGGTAAAGTTTAAGGTTTTGGCTAAGGTTTCGGTTTGAGGCATTTTTGTTTGGGTGGGGGGGGGGGGGNNCGCGCGCGCCTCTCTCTCTCTCTCTCTCTCTCTCCCTGCGCTTCCTAATCCTACCGAACTTCAGAGCGAAATCATCCCGGCCGTTGGAGTGTCAGGGCCAGGTGGCAGTTCAGCACGAGCTGCTGCTTGCGGATCGGGGTGCCCTCGACATCCTGAGTTTGTACCGGCTTCAGACCGGAATCAGGCTTCAGCACAGCCCCTCCATCAAAAAAGCATGTGAGTTGGGAGTCAATGGCGTCGGTCCACCATCAGCACTCAGTGACGTAGCGAAGGAGCTGCCCTTCTGCAGGCTGGCGAGCTTTCCAATCAAAAGGCGGATCTTACATGAAGAAGAACATATAAAACACGATATCACAAAATGTTATCTTACATGAGACTCTGTGATGATAGTGTGTTGTAGTTCACTAACCCATACTATATGCTGTTATGTTGTATGAGATTGTGTTACATTATGACATATCATGTTGTACTACAGTGCCCTATATCACCTAAAACTACGTACACTTTAGTATGTGATATTCGATTATGTAATAACGTATTATGTTAAGTCATCTCATATTAAAGTTAACTATCGGATATTATGTTATGTTATGTTATGTTATGTTAAGCTAAGTTATATTATGTTATACTACATTACACGACGATATATTATTATACTGTTATAATGTACTCTTATACAGTTATGTTTAACATGTTACATTGAATCATATTTCTATTCTATTGTATTCTATTCTGTTCCAATATAGTATGTTGTAGCATATTGAAATTTTACTGTACTATGCTATATCATATGTTAAATTTCGTTAATGTTTGGTTATATTGTGTTAGATTATGATATGTCATCTCATGTTTTAGTGTGTCAAATGATATTACATCTTGTATTATACGTAGGTACATAATATTGTCGTACACTAACAATTACATTACACGTCTTAGACTACACACTCCATACTCATTACTCAATATGTTATATTAAACTGTAAATGTCTGCACTATGTTATCTACTATACACTACATATGGGAAATTATGTATTTCCGAATATTGCATATTATGTGTCATAAAATACGTGTTATTTTTGTATCCTGCAACAACTTATTTTCTCTGTTGTGTGCACTCTCTTAGAATTCTTTTCTACTTTACTATGTTATGCTATATTCGATTACAGTACGCTATGAACTACAGAATCTATGAAATAGCACGTGCCCCACCAAGGCAGGTCGATGTTCCCAGCTGTTGTGCCCACATCTACGATTAATCTCCCAGGATTTGACAAGCGCATATCGTATTTACATCTACATAAACATGAATATGTGTTTATACATATGTACATGCATATAATGCATACCCTACATGTACGTATAATTCGCAATAGGCTTACACTAGCACTCACTCTTGCTTATCACTGCTCTTATTCTTATTAGCATGTCCTGCTATGTTAGCTATGATACGTGAATATACAGATATAAGAAAACACTGTCGCGGCTGCTGGAACCTCTCCTGCAACCTGGCGGTTCAAACACCTCCACGTTAAGCCTAAAACACAGCAGTTTCTAAAACCTTTCGCAACCCAAAGCAACAAACACTGCAATTTAGGAGTCAATGGTAACATCAGGAACACAACAACCAGAAGGCAACAGCAAAAGCAAATAGTTAGACAACACCAAACTCAGCCCGTGGCCATGCTGACTACGACTATTGTATTCAGGCCTCTGCATTACTTCAACGGCTTGAATGATGGCTTCTCGATGGCAGCCGAGGCACACGAAGGCGCGTTTTCACATCGAGGACCTGATAGATGGTCTAAGCAGCTATGATTGTAATAATTGTTGGCCTCTAGACCTTGGATTTCATCAGATAATTATTTTGGCGTTTATTTGTCATTCATTTGTCATTCGGTGGCTTCGCGGTTTGTCATTTGTTTGTCATTGCTGTCAGTCGGTGGTTTTGGAGGTTGTCATTATTTTGCCATTTGTTTGTCATGTTCTTTTTGCCTTTTGCTTTCTTTAAGATGCTATGGATTGGATCCTGGCAAAGAATCCCAGAATGACAAAGAATGACAAAAGGTTTGGGGCAGGACACCCAGAATGACAAAAAAATGACAAGGGGTTTGGGGGATGACCAAAAAATGACTGGAAAATGACCTTAAAAAAATTCCAAAATGACTCGAACATGCGAGGCATTGTCACTTT